TAGGCTACAGTTGTAATAGAACGTTTGTTCACGGCACAGAATTCTACAATTTTTCTGTTATCACAGTGGAGAATTCTGTGGTTTAGGGTGTGAACGCAAAATTTGTTGGCCTAGATCTAGATCTAGGCTATAACGGTGAACGCGCACCGGGTGAGAATAGCCAAAAGACTCGCCTGCACTATTCTCACCCCGGGTGGCCTTCTCCTAATCCTAACGTTCGGGAAAATAAAGCTGGGCACTATTTCTCCGAACACTCTGAAATCTCATCCTTTCCCGCAAATTTCGGATATTATATTCAAGATCTATAATTATAGTATAGGCCTACCAATGAATGTTCGTATACAATATCATATAAGATATGAAAGATAAGATAAGATAAGATAAGATAGATCTAATCTAGATCTAGATTCTAGATATCTAGCTAGATCTAGTACTTTATTATCCCAGAGGGAAATTTTCCTTGGCTGTACAGGACCGTAAAAACACATGCAGGTATATAACAAAATTTAATTCATATTATATATTACTCTCATTAAAATTCAATATGAAAGGAGAAGTAAAGCTGACAAAATGTATATCAAATGCATCATTCAACCGCATGCAGGAATTTAAATACTAGACCTTTGGAGTTATAGATACATACTCTGAGAGCAACACACATCTATGCTCATTCTGACAAAAGCCTTAGCTAGATGGTATAAAACTTCTTTTATATCTTTCTTTTATATATGGTTCAATCGGTCCAAAAAATGTCCACAGTAAATATTTATATATAAAGAAATGCTACAATTCCAAACAGTTTTTCGCTACAGATATGACGTGTTGCCTATGAAGGGTGCTGCTCTTAAACCTAATATAATATATGTTGTGTTCACTCATGTGCTGTCTAGATCTATAGATTTATCTATGGAGGGTTATTGATAACGACACATATAGAACTGGCATCTGCGTTTGTCACTGCTGCGACCAATGTACTGACACTTGCAAGCCCCTTAACTTTTATCCTGCGTCTGTGCCCAGATGCCGGGGTCACTCAGTGTGTACTGTTGGTGTACAGCGCTTGCCGGGAAACGTGTGTTTTGGCCATGAATACCGCGGGAGTGTGTTAAAACTAACCGATGATGAAAATAATGCTCTATCCTTCATTCATAGCTTTCTATTTATAAAGTGTTTCAAACACATGAATAACCCCCTCTCACAAGCTGATAAGACATTACGAGTAGTTACTACGCCCATTCGAATAACCTTTCTGGACGCTCTTGTTGTTATGAATGACCTGAGGTTCGAAAGGGGATAATTTAGGTCAATTTCCGAATGTTTTACACTCAAATTGTTCTTTGTACCTGCACAATGGTATTCAAAACTATCAACCAAGCTTATTTTTTATCAGGTAGATTTGATTCTAGTATCATTTCATACAAAATCAAGCTCATTTGAAATATTTTGTATAGAAAAATGGAAGTCTTGTTTCCTGACTATCCTTTCGAGCTCCTCATGTCTATGTGGGTCAATTTCTTTTTCTATAATTTCATTGGACGAACATCTAGAGCTACCAACTTGGCATGTTTTGAATGAGACGTATGCCTCGATTACGAACCAACGCAGGCGGTTCTAGAAGAAGGCCACAAATGCACACAAACTCAAGCAGACTGACGCACACACACTTGACCTGCGTGAATGGGGATCCGATTCGAGACCCGAATGACACGTAAGAGGATGCGTGCTGCGCGTGCGCTGAGCCAGGAGCTACACTGATTCGGGACCAGAACGTAGGCGAGGTGCCGAAATAGGCTTATCGGGCTACATACACCCGGCTCCCGCAGGATGAGGGTTAATGTGTGTGATTCCATAATTTACATTAATATCCTGTACTTAAAAAAAAAAATTACGCACATTTAGGGTTAAAACAGCAAATCTTCTTCAGACAGGTGGACACACGCCCTTATTTGTTAATGTTTGTTGTTGTTTATGGGCTGTTCTAATTTTGATTTCTTTCTGTTGTGAAACCTTTCTTTTTCACGTTTTTACACTCATCTAAAAATCTCTAGACTAGCTCTTGAAAATTGAAATAGATATAGACCCAAAAATTTGCTCCTGTGTGTGTGTGTGTGTGTGTGTGTGTGTGTGTGTGTGTGTGTGTGTGTGTATGCATGTGCGTGTGTGAGTGTGTCTGTGTGGTAGTAAGTGGAGAGTGAGGAGTGTGTGTGTGTGTGTTTGTTTTTCGGGCTTTATTTCAGCCTTTATTCAGTAACAGTTCAAAGTATACAAAAATAGAAACACAGGATCCATTCACTCCAGGGCTCATGAGTCGTTCGTCTCTTTCAGTTTCACTCATTCATTCAATTCCCGTGTTCTCTCCCGCGGCTCATCTCCATCCGCATGACTTTCATACCCCACCCCCTCCCTACAGGCACACACAAAGAAAATCTCACTCATTCCCTTGCACCCTGCGAACCATGGACAATAATATAGGCAAAACACTGCCTGAGCTGCATTCCTTTCGTTCGTGAGCTGTGGACCAGGCCAGGGGGGTCGATGTCGTCGTCTTGTAGTTGCTGTCGCCTGTGGATACACTCGCACATTCTTCCTTTCACCCGCTCTTTCACTCACACTCACACTGTCTCTCCATCCACAGCTCAGCTCGTCATATGTTCAAAAGTTGCCCACTGGTCATGTTTAGTTAGTGTGTGTATATGTGCATGATGGTGGTGGGTGTGTGGTAGGTGTTACTGAAGGTTGTCTGTAGGCGGGCTTGCCATGCGGTTTTCCCTCCCAGACCAGAGGCAGAATGAAAGTTGGCGCCGAACTCTCGCAATAAATATAGGCAAAAAATCACGAGACCGGAAGCCGGAAACCGTTCCGAGAAATAAAGATCGGCACTATTTCTCCGAACGTTCGGAGAAATAGTCACTTCGAAATATTTTACTATCTCATCTATCTAATTCTAATTGCTTTTCAGTTAGAAGGCAAGGCCAGAAGAGCAGAGCAGCAAAGGTCACCAAAATGTGTTTAGCTTAGACAAAACTTAGAAATGTAGACAACTTGATAGGTCTTGATTTAATCTAGATTCTGGATCTCTAGTCTAGATCTAGATTTAATTTTAGTTCTACTCCAGTACAAACCTACAGACCCTATTTGCTGTTGTAAAATTGTTTTTATCACTTTGCCATCACCAGGTTCATAGGACTTAAAAACTATTGCCATCAAAGGCAAAGGCATTAAATTTTGGGGAAAATCCAAAGAAACTGGGTGGTGAACATCACCAATCAGCGAGATGTGACTGCAAACTGTTAAAGTTGAAGTAGTAATAAATTAATGCCCGCCAGGATGGGAATTGAGGCATTTTTCAAAACAAATGACATGAATGACCCTCTTTTCATCAACAAGGTGGTGGCCTTTTGAGTCTTTTCAATTTTCAATGAAAATCATTTGCAGGCTAGACTATCTCCGTGGCGATACTTTTAGGAGAGCATATCAATTGATTCTAACTTGAGCTTATCAGGTTCCTTTCGTTTGGATCGTTTCAAGAGTAAGTTAGACGTCCAATTGGCTCAAGCTGTAGGATTACTGAGAGAGTGAAGTACACAAGCGACCCTTTGTCTGTGATGCTAAATGCTGGGATTCTCATTTATTTACAGCTTTCATATTTCCATATATATATATATATTTATATTATATATGAGCCATTGCCAAAACGTGGGGGAAAAACACACACATCTCACATTAGTGTGCATAAAATGTGATGCATTAGTATTTATTCCTCCAAAACTTAAATACATGTCCAATATAGGATGTAGAACCTGCATTAGCAGTTTCAGACCCCATGTCAGCATTACAATCTTGAGTTTGTAAATTTTGTGACAAAAATGGTAGTTTTTTGTGATTCCTGGAGTGTCATTTTGAGCACACCAATGCAAACTTCCAAGAATGTCCAAAATTTAGTATTTTTGGGTGTCTTTTTTTTTACGTGTGCTTTGATCCTATGCTATTTGTCATCGAGGAAGGTTAACTTGCTCAAGAAATCGGTTTATTTGTTTGCAAATATACGAACAATTCGGATCACTGGTGGGTCAGTCGTGTCGTCACAGACTAGGTGTTTCAGAAAACACCATTATTTTTCAGTAGAATCACCACAGCTGGTTTAATCTTTTTGCTTTTCGTCGTTTATTCAATACTTAAAAGCCGCGATGCGTGAAAGGAACATCGGGTTCCTAAATCTACGATTTCGGTCGGCTGTTTAACATTCGCCGTGATTGTCGTCACCTTGCGATGTGCCGGAAGTCTGAATTTTGCCCACTTTTGTTTTGAACGGGTCATCAGCAGTGCCCGGATATAATTGTTCTCTTGAGTGACTTCCCCTTACCCGCT